GGACAAAGGGGTCATTATCCTTACAAACCCACAGCAAAAAAGGCCTCACAGAGAAAAAACTGGGCAGAGTCATCACGTGCTCAAGAGTACAGGCTTGTGAATGTACGATCTGAATCCAGCTGGTTGCCCCCCGGGGGCTGCCCTCCAAGCCACCCGTCCTATAACCCACAGCCCATGTTTAACTCAGTGTCCGCACTGTTTAGCCATGTTACCAACAGTAAACATTGGGACAAAGGGGTCATTAAATAGGGATGTTGAGAATTACATGTGCTAGTAGAGACAGAGTTGGGCAGTGGTCAAGCTCTCCATAGACTAGCTATTGTGATATCTTATTGTTTTTCAAATTTGTTCCCAAAAGCTCATTCTTAGGTTTTCTTTCTCACTTACCCATCTCTGACTGACAGGTTCTCCCTCTGGGTATGTTAAAGCCATCAATTAAGGAGCCACCCCAATCTTTCTAGGACCTGACATCCCCTCCTGCTGCAGATGACTGTACACACATCTGACCTCATCCATTATGTGTATATTTTACAGTTACCCTCTCTGTGGGCAGCCTTATCTTCCTCATTTGTAAGTCCCAGCTGTGTCCCCACACACCTCATGGAAGCCTGGCTGCCAGGAACTCATTTCCCAGACAATTCTAATAGCATCCAAGCAAACGTTATTACCTGGCCTCCATCTCACATGTTTAGGGGGATATGAAGAAAGAACAAGGGTAGGGCTGTGCTGAGGTCTGCTTCCAGACTTAACAGCACAGTAATAAGCACAGCTCAGTTCTGCTCCTTTCCTCCCTGCCTATGGATTCTCACCTGAGAGAGGTGGTAAGTCCTCAGAGATGCTGCTCCAGTGACTTGCCGTTGCCCTCGTCACGTATATATCTAACAGTGTTGAAATTAGGCACATTAAAGGGAGGGGCAGCAGGAGACAAGGCTTCTCACAGTTTCCGGTGATTCTCCTTACATCCTGACCCACCCCATGTCTCTTTACCCACCCCCCACACTCCCTCTCTCTGTTATTCTGTCTCTCACTGTCAGCTCGCTTACTCTCTCGCACAGATGCTTCAGATACCTTCCTCTGCCTCTTAATGTTGGTTAGCCCTGGAGCTGTAGACATGCTGCTTGCTCCTTATCATAGCTACTGGCTCACTGGTTTGGTTTGTACCAGGCTCATGTGTTTTTCTAGGAATAAGCTGAAATCGGAGTATTATAGGTGAATCTCAGCCTCATGCCTCAGCTTCTCTTCAAGCCAGCATCACCCACTGCACGTATCCACTCCTTCTGAACATCACAGGAGGACAAGAGCATAGCCACCTGGAAAGTATCTAAGAAGAAGAAACAATCTTACCAATCACCCCTACACACCCCTCAGGAAGCAGGCATTGTGAGAGGCTCTGGACAAGTGTTATGTGTTCTATGACAACCTAATTGGATACATGCTTTTGTTCCCATTATACAAGATGAAAACCCAGAAGGTAAGGTTTCCCAAAGATCATTTAGATGTAAATGGCAGAAATATCCCAACCCATGCTCTCTCCCACATATGACAAGTGCGGATAGATTTCCTAATTCCCTGTACAGTTATTTAGTGCCTACTGTGTGCCTGGCACTGTGCTAGGGTTGGAACATTACCATAAATGAGGCTTATCCCTGGTCACAAGCCCAGACAGGCTGATAGGTTATTGCCAGTGAGCAAAATGGTCTTGGATGAACCAGTCCCAAGATGAAGACTGTCATCAAGGGGGGTGTGCAGAGAGACACCACCAGTGGCAGAGGTCAGGAGGCCAGGTGCGCAAAGTTTGAGAGGCAAAGTGATGCCGTTGTGGGGTTTCAGAAACAGGCACTTGCCCCCTCCCCTTTTGATACGACTTTCTCAGTAGTTTCTTGGAACTTGTAGGAGGACCACTGAGTTCCTTACCACTGGGGTTTGATTAAACAATGGGCTCTGTGAGATTCACTGCTGTGAAACTCAGCTGTGCAAATGCAGGCTCTGAAGTGACAAGCTGATATCTCTCCCTGCATCTGACAGCAGTCCCTTGCCTTCAGCCCCATGGTTTCAGTTTGTCACTTGTCAGCGTCACCTTGGCCATTCACTGCAAACACACAAGAGAAGTCAGTGAAAGCAATTCTGTTATGGGAGCAGGCACTCGTGTGGGTAAAGGTGGAGCCTGCTCCACCCCTGTGCAAGGACTAGGGGCAACAGGAGATTCTCAAGTGGTAACACCATCAGGAGATGATGCTCAGAGTAGTCACCAGGTAAGAGAGAGTAGCAGGGTACTTTTCAGAATTCTGGGAAGGTGTTCCTGGGCCAAGAACAGAGGCAATATTCCCTATTAATTAATAGGGAAGTCCACAATCAACAGAAGCTGCCACCAAATACTTCTTAACACAAGCCACTGGTCTTTAGAACCAAATGCAGACTCAAGAAATGAGAGAGCTTGGCATGATGGTATACACCTAGAATCTCAGCTATAAGGAAAGCAGAAGTAGGAGGATCACCATTCCTAGACCAGACCCAGGCAAAAGCTAAACCTACCTGAAAAATAAAGCAAAAAGGGCTGAGGACAGGGGGAATGACTCAAGTGGTAGAGTGCTTGGGTCTTAAGTTCAAACCTAAGTATCACCTCCCCCCAAAGAAAAGGAAGTTGAGAATTAAAAAAGTCTGTTAGACTTGACAGTGAGAGAGTATTGCTGACCTTGGTTAAACCCATGGAGTCAAAGGCAGACAGTAAGAATTGGAGGAGTTTATAGGTGGTGAAGAAGGACATAACTGGGGTAGGAGGCTCAGCATACCCAGAGGTTGCTGCCTGAGTCCCTCCTCTCACAGTACTGCTTGTTTTGTGGCCTCTGCTGGTTAGTTCCTCCAAGATAGGACGTACTGTGTGGACAACATTTAAGGCAACTAACCATGCAGCCCTCAGCCCCATACCTTCACCCTCCATCCCTCTCTAACCACCCTCCCACTAGCTCCTTGACCCATGAACCCCAATATTCATTGCTGCAGTTGCAAGGTCAGAAAGATTACATCTCTGCATTATCAGCTTGGATTGCTAACCTTTGCAACTTCATTCTAAGCTGGTGAGATTACCATTGACTAGCATGATTACCAGTATCATCTAATGATGATGGTGACTCACAATTGTCATACATTACTTATGTGCCTAGCATCTCAGAGCTTTAACGTCTTCATCTGTAAATTGCATGTCCTAGTACCACTGCTACAGGCTGCAGTGATTAAAGAAGCAATGCTATAAAGAGCACAGTGCTTGCTACTGGATACACGTGAGCACTTATTACCATTTGTTGACCACCTACAGTATAGCTGGCATGCTCTGAGAAAATCATTTCTCCCAAATGCTGTATACTGTCTTATTGCCAGAGTTTTGCAAATGCCTAGAACACTCCTGTCAGGCAAATTCCTGTTTCCTGATCAGAACACAGTTCTGGAGCCCTCCATTAGTGTGCACCCAGAGAGCCCTGGCTTCTCTCTACCTCCCTCCCTACATCATATCTGTTCCTTCAACTCTACCCAATGTCTGAGTGTCTGACTTCAGTAATATTCATTAGCTAGAGAGTATATTATCTTACTTAGTTCTCTGAATAACCAAGCCCACAGAGTATCTGTTATTATAAAGATAAGGAAACAAAAGCCGAGAGAGATAAGAAAATTGCCCACGATTACACAATTACTAAAGTGGTGGAGTCCAGATAGAATCTGTATGATCTCATTCAAGAGATCACGCTCTTTGTCTTATGGATCAGCCTACCTTTCAAAGTAGCATCCCATGGGAGACATCCAGCCCACAGTGTTGAAAGTCACTTGAGTCGACTACTCTGGAAACATCTGAATATATGGCTTTACTCCAAGATGGCAGCAATGCAGCTGAAATGGAAGAGCATCTCCTCCTCCTCTGCCCCCAGTTTTGTGCTGGGCATGGGCTCCCCGGCGTATCCTTGCATCTACTGCCATTGGACCATCCTGCTTGCACCCTACCCTGCAGCCCCCACCACTCACTCACAGGACTGGCCTGTCCCCTAGCTCTTTAAGGTTGTCCCCCGATACAGACCCGAAGAGGAGATCATTTCAAAACCATTTGTTCCTGCTTAAGTGTGACCTTCTATCCCCCTTTTCCTGACCTCCAGAGTGGATTGTTTCCCTAATTTTATTTCCTAAAGATGTCATTGAGGTGGGTTTGCAATAGCTACTGATCCAACACCAGGAAATGAGAAAGAATCTCTCAGGGAGTGCTGAGAAGAGTGTATAAGAGTAGAAAGATGAGGATTAGGTAGTGAATCCTTTGGTGAAAACTGGCAAATATCTCGAATCCCATTTTCCAGCAAGTTCTGACCACTGGGAAACTCCTAGGGGGTGTAATTGGAAAACATGGGTTCTTTCTCCCAGCTCCTAGTGAAAGGGATAGGTGTTGGTCATGGGGACTTACTTAGTTCCTCCCCTGTGAAGCCATATGAGGCTTATGGGCCAGCAGGGCCACATTCTTTCTGGAGGCTCTTGAGGAAGATTTGTTTTCCACCTTCTAGAGGCTACCCATATTCCGTGGCTCGTGGCTGCATCCCTCCCACCTCTGCTTTCTTCATCTCATCTCCTCTAACTCTGACCTTCCTGCCTCCCACTTATGAGGACCCTTGTGACTCCATTAGGCCCACTCCTATAATCTAGAATATTCTTCCCTTTGCAGTAGCCTTAATCTAACTACATCTGCAAGGTCTGTGCAGTGTGAGGTGATACGTTCACAGATTTCTGGATTAGGACGTGGGCATCTTGGGATGGAGTAGTCTTCTGCCTACCACAACCTTTAGGGGCCTACAAGACCCTGCAACCCTCCATACCACATCCCTTCTGCCCCCGTGTCTGGGTTCTGTTTCTGTGCCTCATTCCGTATTGGTCATACCAGCCTTCTTAGACAAACACCTTAGGTTGGTGCCTTTGCACTGGATGTTTGCTTAGCCTGGAAAACTCTTACCCCAGATAGCCACATGATCTGCTTCCACACCTACTCTAAGTATGCAGCAAAATAGCCCCTTCCTCCTGAGGCCTCCCCTGACCACCTTATTTCATCCTAACCCATTCCCCACCTCTGACATTCCTAAGCTCACTGCATAGCTATGTTCTCTCCTACTAGTTCTCACTTTCTACCATGCTATTGTGAGTCACCAATTAGCTTGTTGTCTGACTCCCTCACTAATACGTACGTTCCACAAGGACGGGAATTTGTGCTATCATAGGACCTGGCACATTGCAGAATGAGTGAGCAATAAATGAGAACAATATATTAAAACTAGCTCTTGTCTGGACCTGTTGGTCAGAAGGGCAGAGTCAGTACTGGTATTGGCATTGTGACCCAGTGCAAGAATAGGAAAATGGGAAGCAACCAATGGCCCATACACACTGAGTATGTATTATCTGCCAGACACTGTTTAAGCATTTCTCAAGTATGGTCTCATGTGGTCCTCACAAACACCTGCAGAGATTAATGCTGTTATTACCATCCCCATCTCAGACACAAAATCTACAGAACAAAGACAGCAAGTAATTACCCAGATGCCAGCCAAGCAGCTGGGGTCTAGAGCCTCCTTTTCCCCACTGTGACAAGTTGGAGGTGATGTCACAAGAACAGTGTAGAACCTGGCTGCTCCTTGTTTCTTCTGAGACAATTTCCTTAATCTCCTCATGCCAGGAACCTGGGCTGTTTCCCTGGTTACAGACACCTGCCTCTAAGGCAAAGGATAGGGTTAAAAAGACAGACAGAGGGAGGGAGCTGTGTGTGTAATCACCTGCCAGGTTCAGTTTGGGGCCTGGTAATTCTGAGCACTGGGAAGCCCATCTAGCTAATGGTCACCCTCTCCTGTTTTTCCTTTGGCATATGTTGAGCACCGTGAGAGCCTAGTCTCCACCTCCTCCACCCCCTCAACGGGCATAGGAAGCTTCACTACTCAGCCCCGTTCCCTCTCCTGCTCACCATTTATGCCAGGTGGGAGCACAATGGGTAGGAACTCCTTGAGTGAATTAAGAGGAAGGGATAAGGAGAAATGAGATGCAGATGAGAAGACTGGAGACTTGAAAAATAAGCTCTACCCAGCTCAGTGTTTTTCTGCTGGTCAGCTCCATCAGACTGGAAGAGGTGAATTTACTCTGAACTCCTGAATTGGTTTTGACATGAAGGCCTTGGAGCACTGGCTGGAGACTAAGATCTAACACTCCCTGCTGCCATAGACAAACAGGCTGGCAAGCCAGAAATCTTTTCTAGCTGGAAGCAATATGTTGCCTTCCCTGAATCTTCCATACTCTCCCATTCTCTTGCTATGGACCCACACAGTAAGCTGAACACTGGAAGGGGAAGGGGACCCATTTGTGAACCAGTTATTCCAAGCCAGGCACTGCATTAGGCTCTAGAACTGGGAAAGAAGAGACAGCATTGCTGTCTCCACTTACAGATAGGGAACTTGTGAGTAGGAGAGGGGGTGCAGTGTGCCCAAGGCCAGAGGAAGGGCAGGGAGGTTTTCAAGCTGGTGCTGTCTGGCTCTGAGACACTTGTATTTGCAGTGCTCTCCATTGTATCAGCGGAGTCCTTGATCACTTAGGTAGGTACCCACAAATTCTTCAGCCCAAATCATTGTTGTAGGTTTGTGAACATTTTTGCAAGGGTCTGGGTCAAGAAGCAAGGGAAATGGATCAGCTGGGGTTCTCCAGAGAAACAGGAGACATAGAGATTTATAGAGATAGGTAGGTAGGTAGGTAGGTAGATAGATAGATTTTTAAATAACTGGATCATACAGTTGTGGGGATTGAAAAGCCTGAAATTCCATAGTGCAGGCCTATAAGCTAGAGACTCAGACAGAATCTCTCTGTGACTGTCCTAAGGCAGAATCCTGAAGAAATCTCAGGTTTTGCTCTTAAGGCTCTTAAGAGCAAAATTGATCAAATTATCAAGGATAATCTCCTTCCCTTAAAATAAGCCACTTGTACATATTAATTGTAACTACCAAGCCTCTTCACAGAAACATCAAGACTAATGTTTGGCCAAGCAACTGGGAACCGAAACCCATCTCAGTTGACACATAAAGTGAACCATCGCAGGCAGCAGCCATCAGGTGCTCAGAGCCTGATAGGTGCAAGGCAGTGCACCAAGCACTTCCCGGCACAGTGCTGCTTTCCCTCGCCAGTATATTCTATGAGTGGGTGAACTCTGTCTTGCCCAAGACAACAGCTGTGGTGGGGTCAGAGCTGGAAGCCAGGTTTTTCTGACCACCACTCCCCCAGAATGCCTTCCAAAAGCTTCCTCTTTAATAATCTAGTCTTGGCAATTTATTTTTTTTTATTTTATCATTTTTACATTTACTTACATGTGCACACATTATTTGGGCCACCTACACCCTCCCACCTCCCTACCCCTGCTTCTTGGAAGAACCTGTTCTGCCCTCTTTTTCTCTGATTTTGTTGAAGAGAAAACATAAGAGATAATAAGAAAGACATAGCACTTTTGCTAGTTTGAGGTGAAGATTGCTATACAGAGATTCTTAGTGTTATTGCCATGCATATGTGTATTACAACCCATATTGGTTCATCTCTACCAGACTTCTTCACTACTTCATAGTCCCCTCCCCATAATGGCCTCTGTCAGTTTAAGATTACTATATTCACTTCTATACAGGGAGCACATCAACCACATTCAAGTTTTAGGTTTCCTTCCCTTTCCCTATTCCTCCCATATGCAATCTCCCCTTAGTGTGTGACCTGTGTCCAGTATAGACTCAGTAATTTAAAAGCCATCTGTGAAGTTACCCAAAGTCACTCAGCTTGTCAGGCTAGCCCTAGAACTCAGGTCTCTTGGCTCTGGGCCCAGCTTTCTCACTCATCATACTGCCCTTCTCTCAGAAACTTCTGCAGTCCCTGCATGATACACCTACCATATATGTGATAACAGCAGATTGTTCACACCTAGGTCAGTAAGCCCCAGCCAAGGTAGGAGGTACCAACATGATGCAGAACAGCCCAGGGCACCATTACCATCTCAATACAGATGTGCTCAGAGTCTGTACCCTGCAACTACTTTATTGCCAAGATAACTTCCTAATGAGACCTTTTCAGGACATCAATATTGAAACCTTCTTGAAATGGCTCTATCTGGTGACAGATCCATCTTTGTGAAGGTTTGTATTTCAGTGAGCCTAATGGGAATTGCAGAAAGCGCTCTGGAATCTGATACTGTCTATGCAGAGGGAAATAGGACTGCCTAGAGCTCCATTTGTAAGGCATGCTGCTCACTGGGTCTGTTTGCTCTGGGTCTTGCAATATATCTGTTAAGGCTGTTTGGTTGTAAGTAACAAAAACCAGTGCAAGAAGTTTAATTAAAATGAAAAGAAATCAAAGGAAAACAAAATAAATGAAAAAGCAGGGTGGTATATCTTACGGAACCACAGTAGGGTTGGAAAACCAATACATAAGAGTACAATTAACCAAGGCAATTTTGGACCTCTCTGCAGCAGTTCAGGGACCTGCAGAGCACTGTCTGACATGAGTGAAAATCAGCTATGTGGTTTCCTTGACTCTGTTTTTGTCCAAATTGCCAAGGGTGAGAAACAGATTTGCTCACTTGGGTCAGTGTCTACCCCTAAACAATCTGTCCTGCCCAAGAGACTCAGGTAGGGCACATAGAGCTCTGGATGCTGATCATAGGAGCCATAGAAGGGGAATTTAATTTTGAGCTGGATACTCCAAGAAGTGGCTACTAGAATAACTGTGATTGTAATAACAATTTGAGGATTATATATAGAAGTCCATGTTTATAGATCTCTGTATCTATTGTGTATATATGGGTATGTAAAATTCAGCCCCCTCCCAGCCTTCCACTCAATTTCTATCACATACCAGCTATAGGGCCAATCTTGGGCACAACTTAGAGATCCTTATCTTTAGGCTCTGAGCATACTAAGACATTTACAAGATGTATACACTACCCAGACCATTTGTCACCCTGTATCATTAAGTACCTGGTACATAGTAGGTGCTTGGTGATCACTGAATGACTAGCAACCACCTACCAATGCTGGCACACCTTCTTCACACTACAGGGTCCCAGGGGCATTGCAGTCTTGGTCCAATAACATTCTTTACACCTACAGTCCCATGCTCAATGCCCAGAATCAACAGATGAAGTACACACTTTTCCCAGGAGGATGGTAAAGAGCCCACCCCTACCTGTATCTAACATAGGTTTGATTTTGAAGGAAATGCTGGCTAACATTAGATGTCTGACCATGGCAAAGGGAATCTTGCATCTTTGAAAAATGACATCATTGTCCAGCTAAAGGGGAGAGGAATGTAGGCCAGGACAGGCTGACTTACACGCCTGGTCCTCACACTGGCCAAGTGTGTCTCATCCCCATTCTATCTGCTGTCACCCTTTATGAACCTCTTCTGAAATACTGATTTGGGGCAACATTTCACTTTGGTGTGTAGTTAAGCGTAGCGATAAAGAATGGACTGTAATAACATTCAGAGGGTTCAAAAATGAACTTCCAACCTACCTCTTAACCACTTCTCCACTGCTCACTGGTTAAACTAACCTTTAACCAAAGGTAGTCCTTATTCTGACCTGGTCCAGAGTCCCCTAGTTTTCATTGATATTAGTTTTCATTGATAGCCTGGGCTTGATATGAAACCTGCAGCTCTTGGCCTGCAACTCTGTGCTATCCCACACTGGTCTGGGCTAACACAGTCACTGACTTACAGTATGGCTGCTCTTTTACAGACCAGCTCTAGTCCTTGCTTACGCACAGGCTCAAAGTTTTATTGACTGGTGACATATTAATACAACAATAAGCAATTATATGACTGTGGGGGGTTACTTCCTCAAGTATTTTCCAAAATCCCTTCCAATCCAAGGCAAGGCTTCTTTCTCTCTTTCAGAGATGTCTTCACCACCCAAAAGTCAGCAGTCTGAGCAGGAAGCCAAAATGAAGTACCAAGGTCATATCTAAAAGAGATCATAGTGGATCAACCCAGGGAGTAATGATAGCCCTGCAATATAATCATTTCCATTTTTCACTGCATGCCTGCCTTGTGCCATGTGTGCTAAGCAGTACTCCACTACTTTGTTCACAACAACATTATTGCCACCATTCTGGGGAGGAGGAACTCAAGGTAGAGAGAAGCTAAATTACTTGGCTAGGATGACAAGACTCATAAAGTGACATTGCCAGTTTTCAAATCCAGTCTGTGTTCCCTAAAAGTTTCATGCTGTGTGGCCCTCCCTGAGCCTTTCTCCCTTTCCAAGAGGTGGGCATGGAGCTGAGAATGAGCAGACAAATCCAGACGGGCAAGAGCTCTTTTTTCTGAGGAGCAGAGCAGAAGGCTGGGTACCAGAGCTGGAGTCAGTGAGAGGCTGGAGAGCTCTGAACCACCAAGCGGCACTCCAGAGCTCTGGCTGGATACTGGCAGCATTGGGGGGGGTGGGGGGTGGCGCTCTGGGTACTTCTGTGTCAGGGTCCAGATCATTCAAGGAGTTGTAGAGTCATAGACTGGTCATTCTGTCATGGGCTTTGTGTCCTCCTGCCCCATGTGTCCGGTGATAATATAGAACGATCGTGTATATGAAGTGCTTTGAGACCGCCCTGTGTACTTGACTGTGACAGAGGCACACTGCAAACATGTGGGAAGTTGCACCAGCCCCTTCTGTCCAGCCCACCTCTTGTTTGCGCTCCAGGAAGATTCAGCTGTCTGAATCAGCAGCTGCAAATGTCAGTTCCTGTGTGGGCTTCTTGCATGAAATTTGGATAGCTGCTTGGCCTCCCTGGGTCTCAGTTTCCCTATGTTAAACTGTGAGGCTGACTACCACCCACCCTCATGGGGAAGGGCCTTGGCCTGATGTCACAGGGACCCTGTCTTTCTGCTTGCCCCCTCTTTCAGGAAGTCTGTCATCCAGCTTGACCTCGCCAACACCAAGAAAGCAATGATTGTCCCTGCATTCGAGACACTGCGTTACCGGCTCTCCTTCCCCAAGTCAAAGGCTGAGCTGCTATCAATGCTTGATATGGGGACTCTGTTCACATTCAGGTAAGTGACCCCTGCTGACCTCTGTGGTGCCAGAAGGCGCTCTCCTGAGAAGCCCAGTATCCAAGCTGTTGGCTCAGAACTTAGTGGAATTCATTCATTGTAAGGCCAAAAAAAGCACTGCTCACTTCAGTAATGTCTTTGGAATCTTCCTTTTGCTCTCTTCTCTTTCCTCTCCTCCCCTATGCCTGTACTTTGCTTTCTGCATAAATGATAGGTACTATATGTCCAGATGGAATGACAGGCATGTTTAAATAGGAAAGCCAATTTTATTTCTTTTCATCCTTTTTTCTACACTCAGTATAGGACCTTGCTACCATCTCCTGGCTCTGAATTCATTCTCTCTCTCTCTCTCTCTCTCTCTCTCTCTCTCTCTCTCTCTCTCTCTCTCTCTCTCTCCCTCCCTCCCTCCCTCCTCTCTTTCTCTCTCTCTCTCTCTCTCTCTCTCTCTCTCTCTCTCTCTCTCTCTCTCGTACTTGCCCATCCATTTACTTGCTGAGTGGGTTTCATTCTGTGAACAACCCCTCCCTAGTGCTGGGTGTCCTTTTTCTTTTTCATGTGAGTGGTCTTTTCTTTAAGCCCTTCAGACCTGGCATGGGCAGTCATCAATGTGACTCCAGTTGCACACTGCTAGGGAGGAGCCAACTTTCCTGCTGCTTGAATGACAGCTTCAAAGAAAACCCTCATTTTCCAGGCCCTACTCCTGCAGGAACTCCAGGGTGCTGTGCTACCTCATGTCCACAGTGCTCCAGGAGACAATGCTGCACAGGTGCAAATGGGTTCTGTTTCCTGGGGACAGGCTGTGACATTAAGTGTAGTGGTGGGGACTGAGGAGTGGTTGTCCTGATGACGCAGTCTGAATAGAGCCATTGCTTCTGCTAAAGTGAAATACCCATTTCGAACAATCTAAGAATGACCAACACTGTGAGTTCAAACCCATACAGTCTTAGGCAACCTGACTTGTAGATCAAAAACTTCAGATAGAACAACTTAGGTTTTCATATCACTATAAAGTTTCTAAAAGGTTTTCTCAAACTATTTTGTGAGAATAACTGTGAGGTGGGATGTTCATTCAATAGTGCAGAGATTATTTTTCACATTTTCTGGAGAGAGAGGTCCCCACAGAGCCAGGATTCAATCCAGCCTTCATACTCTATCCAGAATTCTGGAAAGTGACCTAGAAAAGATAATTCTCCCCAAACCAGACCTTTCTTCTTTCCACAAAGAAGTAATAACACTATCCTTTCTCAAGTGCTCGATATGTGCCAGACAATGTGATCAGCCTATTTAATCTTCACAATGAATCTGAAACAGATACAATTATCCCCCTTGTATTATAAGACACTGAGGCTCTGACAGGCCATGTAATTTGTCCCATGACACACGGCCAATAAATGGCAGAGCCGGGAATCATCCCAGGTCTGAGGAACCCTCAAGCCTGTGTTCTTAACCAAAATAGCACTGAGCTGCTGATGAGTTCTTAATTTTCATACCAGTCAGTGTTGGGAGAAGCAGAGTAAGAACTGGTTCTGAAATTGAGACTTTGAGAATAAACCTTCACCTGACTCTCCGGTAGCCTGATGTCTGAACACCTGGCAAATATCCAAGGTGGTGTTCTTTCCATCTTCGCCCCCAGGTAATCTGAGAATTCATTTCAAGGCCATGTCTGTGGGCGTGAGAGCTGGGGTCTGGCCTGCTGTGTTGGTGATTGCTGCTCTGGTCAACAGCTTGCAAGCCACCATGCCAAGTGCTAAATTACAGACCTTCCCTCCAAGAAATTGCTTTTGTCACCTGCTCTTCAAGTAATGAACCCTTAAATTTCCCAGAAGTAGAAACCTACTCCCTACTACCTCTGGCATGAGAAAGTGTCTGCACCTCTCTACATCCTGTAGGGGCACGGTTCTCAAAGTGTGGGCCGTGGGCCACGGACAGCACATTGCCAGAAACCTTGTTAGACAGAATAAAGGCCTGCCCAGACTTCCTGAGCCAGAAACCCTGGAGCTGGAAGTAGCCTTCCACGTGACTCTGGTGTACATCGAGTCTGAGAACCACTGCTCAAACCACCCCCTCAACCCCCCACCCCACCCCGATCTCAGTAGCATCCTGTGAGGTGTGCCCAGAATGCCTGTCTCATCATCTCGGCACTACATCTGAGGCTACCTGGGACTTCCGGGCTCAGAGAGCAGCCCCTCAAGTCTAGTGTCTGCTGGACTAACAGCAAGTTCCTTGGCAGTTTTCAGGCTGTCGCTTGTTTTAATGGCAGGTTGATTGTAACTTCACTGTGTCCTGTTCTGCCCAGCCATTTAGCATGCTGTCTGTGTTCCACGTTTAGTGGATAGAAGCTGCCCCCTAGCTGCCCCTAGCCAGATGAGCAGAAAAGCTGTCTTTGCCAACCCTTCTCTTTTTTCCTCTTTTCCACATGATAATAGGCCAAGAGTTCAGATCCTAAAGATAGGGAAAACTAAAGTGGTCATTAAATATTAATATCACAAAGAACAAGAGCACTGAATTGATATCATATCTAGATGGTAAACAGGGGAAATAATTACAATGTCCTCATTCTTCAATGAATTACTTCATATCAGACACTTTGCTGAATGCTCAATGTGAATCAATTCATTTAGTCAGCATCAGTTCATGAAGTAGATAGGTATTATTACTTCCCATTTCACCAAGAGAAGGAAACAAAGGCACAAGGTAGTTAACTTGCCTACACATGCTAAACAGAATTCAAACCAGATAGATTACCTCCACAGCTGTTGTATTTAACCATTTTATTTAACTGCCAAGTAGGGAACTACCATTTATTGAATGCCTTCTGTGTGCCAGCTCTGTGCCAAGCTCTTCGTATTGTCTCATTTAAGCTCCTAGGCAATTCGTTTCCATAGGTATTATTTTCCCAGCTGATACCAAAGGAAACTAAAGTCCCATTAAAGTGCTTTGTTGTTCGGGGTCCTTAGATTGTAAGTGGCAGAGGTAGGATTTGAACCCTGACCTATGGCTCCACTATGCTGTGCTTGGAAACTAATATGGGTTCCCAGCCATCATTTATGTTGCATTCACTCCATCAAAGGCACTAGGTATCAAGAGTGATTGTTCAGCAAGCTCACAAATAGAAAATCAACTGCCTCTTGGCCTAATTTTTTTTTATTAGAACTGTGATTGACATCTCTCACAGTATCCTTTTTCACTCTCCATTAAAATGGCATTGCTCAACCTTTCCATTTTTTTTTTCCATTAAAGTGATTGGTTTGGGTGGGCATTACCTCTTTGATAGAGCTGTTCAAATCCCTGCCTCCCCCAGCCTGCCCATCTCACCCAGCAACACAATTACAGAAAACCCACCTATGCCAAAGTGCCCATTAAGCATACTGGACAGTTCCCTGAGGGTCCAGTGGAAGTCCAGCCTCTGTGATGAAAGAGAAAATTAGAGAAAAGCCATAATTCTGCCATGGGAGTGCCACTAGCCATAAGGACCCTCTCACTCACAGCCTCACTTGCTCTACAGAGTCATCCCTAAGGAGAGAATGATACCCAGTACTCTGAGTTCCTTTCTCCTGCAGCTAAGCAAGGGCTCACCCTGCCTGTCTTCCTTTCATTTCTTAAAGCTATTCTTTCTAGCTCTGGGTAACATCTTCTTTTGGCCCTGTCTATTAGGGCTTAACTATGGTCACAGATTCTGCCATCTCTGTAACTTCCACAGGCATATTCCTGTCCCACTCACTGGTCTTTCTTTGGTTACCTCACAAGTTTTTAAATAACTCATTCATTCAGTCATTTATTCAGTGTGGAGTACAGTCATCAAGTACTTGTTCCATGGGCCAGAGTGCAAGGGACAATGGCATACAAGAGAGGTGGACCCAACCAGTAGGAAAGGGTGCTAGCCCTTGAGCCAGGCTATCTGAACTTGAATCCCAGCTCCACCACTATTTCTAACCTGACATTGGGTAAATTATAAGAATTTAGAACATTATATATATATTATATATATACATTTAAAATAGTCCCAACACATAGTAAGTGGTTAACAAATACTAACTTCTTGTTCTTGTTACATGGTTGTATTCATTTTCTTTTTGCTGTATATAACAAATTGTCACAAACATAACAACTTGAAACAATGCAAATTTACGATCCCACTGTCTCTGGGGATCAGCAGTCTAGGCATGGATTGGCTAGGTTCTCTGACCAGGGTCTCACTGGATGGAAATCAAGGTGCCCAGAAAAGTTGCCATTCTTCTCCAGTGCACATGACCCTCTTCCTACTCTCTGGCTGCTGGCAGAATTCCTTTCCTTATGATCATACACTGAAGTTCCTGTTATCTTGCTAGCTTTTGGCCAGGCACCCCCTCAGCAAAGAGCTAGAGTCTAGCTCTTCACTCTGTGACCCCAGAAGTGTCTTGCAGCACAAATCTTTGCTTCCTTCCAGATCCAGATCTGAAGGCTCACATGAACAAGTCTGATCTGCCTCAGAAATCTGTTTTCATTAATCCAAGGTCACCTGAATGGTACCTTAATAATATTCATCAAAAAATCCCTTTTGCCACATAATATAAGGTAATTCCAGGAGTGGTATCCTACTTCTAGGTTCTGCCCCAAGGTTGAGGGACATGGAGGTCACCAGTGGTCTCTGGTGGGAATAATCATAATACATAGAAATGACACAGAGTACCAGGAGGTCACTGGCCTTTTCACAGGATGGTAACCTCTACTCTTTCTAGTGAAGTTCATAGACAGTGGACTGCAAAGATCGTATTTCCAAACAAGTCACATTTAAATGAACCAAGATTAGCATTTAAACATAGCTTTTGCAACCCACACAAGGACTGTATCAGCACATATCTCTTCTTCCTCCCAATCAGTAGGGTTGGAAAGCTCACTTCCTGTCCTCCACTCAATGGATTTTCTCCATGTATGCCAGGTACCATGTCTGGACAAAAGGCCATGCACCCACAAACTTCGCCAAGTGGCGGACTGCCACCACGCCTTACCGGGTTGAGTGGGAAGCTGATTTCGAGCCATATGTTGTAGTAAGACGAGACTGCCCTGAGTACGACCGGAGGTTTGTGGGCTTTGGCTGGAACAAGGTCGCTCATATCATGGAACTGGATGCACAGGTGAGCAGAATGGAACATCCACCTGGTGCTGTGGGGATCGGGAGAGTGGCTTAGATCTTAGAGCTGAAAGGGGGCCTTGGAGACAAGAAAAAAAAGACCTAAGAAGGAACAAGATATATTCAAGGGCCTAGAGTGAAAATATGGCAGGTCCTAATGTTTGAGGCTATTGGTAGGGACTATTTCTTCTTCTCTTGCATGAGTGTTGGGGTCCTGACCAGGATCAGGCAAATGTGAGTTTCCTGTGACAAACTATTTACCCCCTTGTCCTCACCCAACCCAAGTGAAGACAAGCAAATGATAAGTATTCATCACTTGGCCTTTGAGTCATATAATACTCACAAAGCATCGTTAGAATACCATGTGAATGACACAAAGCAAACCACTAAGAGGCAAGTAACTACACCCTTTAATTAAGAGAGCAGTGATTTTTAGGCTATATTCAGTCTTTAAACCCCTCATTCTACAATACTTATACTAATAAGTATACATAATGCTTACCCATACTACTTACTACTCCAGAAGAAGTCTCATAATTTTAAAAAGTGAGAATCAAGTTTCTGCAAACTCTGTGAAGGCAAGGATAGTAAGTGTTTTGGAATTTGTGGGGCCTAAGAGTCCCAACTCTGCCACTGTAGTGCCATCATAAACATTTCCTAAACAAATGGGCACAGCTGTGTTCCAGTGCAACCTTATTTATACAAACACGCAGTGGGCCAGATGTGCCATTGTTTTGTCAACACCTATGTTAAATAAACAGAAGCCAAGCTGTTCTGGTTAAGTTAGGAGCAGGATACCTGGGTCCTGCAGCCTCACTTTGCATGTACTCTTCTCCAAGGCTTCTCTCCTGAAGCACAGTGTAAATGTTTCTCAATGAGAACTCCTCAAATTCAGGAAAATCTAAGGTTGGATGTCCAGTGGTGACCAACCGTGAGAATCACCAGGAGAACTTTCCCATGGATCCACTGGCTTGAGAGCCATCCCAGATGATTGAGACACACTGGGGTCAGTAGAAGGTTGTAGAACAGTGGCCACATTGAGCAAAAGAAATCATGGCCTACTATCCATGTTACTAGTCATACTCAGAGGGACCCCAAGTATTGCTTGGTCATAGACATTGCTGCTCACAGGCAGTCAGTATCAGCTGAGAAGAACTGTGATATTCATGCATCCATCAGTGTTTTGAGGTGAACTAGTTAAAAGAAAGTTCATTTTCCCAGCACTGAGTCCTGGGCCTTGTTTTAGACAATTTTAGAATGCCCTTAAAAATGTGTTACATATTGTCCTTTGACTTCAGGGAGTAATGAGGGCACACCTGACAGGTAACAGAGCCTCACCTTAAGGGACTGGTGGGATTAGTAGTGTGTTTTGTACCACACGGAAAGCCCCAGAGAGCTCTCTCCATGGTTTTCCTGCTCACTCCTAACCATCAGCTGCCATTTCTTGCTGCTGTCAGTATTCTGCCCAGCACAGCTCCCTTTCCTGTCCTCCATTTGCCTTTCTCAGTTTTTTTTTTTTTTCCTCATCTGCTCTGGACTGGGAAACCAGATGACCAAAGCTTCTCAGATATCACGACCAAAACCAGAAAAAATATACATACTGAAACGGTGCACTGGGTTCTTTCTTAGTTACATGTCCTAAATTTCTATCACTTATTTTGGCTATTCAAAGGCCTTTTACTTTGGGAGAGAGGTTTTGCTTATCTCCTGCCAGATAGAGGCTACTCTTATGATGGCATGACTTGTAAGAAGGAGAAGTGGGAGAGTTTTGTTACTGATAGGCTTCAGTCCAGCTGAATACTTGTTTTCATTTTCTTCTTGGCTTTCATTCTTGTCTTGGCCTCTCTCGAACTTATCAGTGGCGGTTGTCAAAGCTCATCAAACCCTGTGAGGACTTTACATAAACGGATGTCAGTTAATTGAGCAAGAGAGTCCTTGGCTTCTCCATTCTAGAGTGACCACATGGATGGGAACTCACATTTACCAAGAGCCTTTCCGGGGCTATGAGTTCAGCTTAGCTCTCTCCATACAACTCTGGTTTCACCCTTGTGGTCATCCTTCAAAATAGAAATTATCACTTTCTCTTCATACATGAGAAAAACTAAGTCTCAGATAAGTCACATATTTTGTACAGGTCATGAAGACAGCTCTGAACCCTCCCATTCCAATCCAAAGTTATTGTGCTTCCCATGAGCTGCCCTGCTTCTTGGTATCATTCTCCAGTTCCTTCATTCAAAGTGTCAAGTGAGGCTTGGCAAGGTGGCACTTGCCTATAACCCCAGCTACTTAGAGAGACAGAAGGATTTTAGTTTGAAGCTAACCCAGGAAAAAAGTTAGTGAGACCTCACCTCAAAAAACGAACTATAAAGCAAAAAGACTGGGGGCATGGTTCAAGTGGCAGAGTGCTTGCCTAGCAAGCGCAAGGCCCAGGGTTCAAACCTCAGTACTGTCCCCCAAAAGGTAAGTGTCACATGGGCCTTCACCCTGCATGACCCAGGGCCCCTGCAGGGTCTCACACTGCTTTGTCTCCTCCTTCCAGGAGTACGAGTTCACTGTGCTGCCAAACGCTTACATGGTCCACATGCCTCATGCCCCCAGCTTCGACATCACTAAGTTCCGCTCCAACAAGCAATACCGCATCTGTCTCAAAACCCTGAAGGAAGAGTTTCAACAGGACATGTCTCGCCGCTACGGCTTTGCTGCCCTGAAATATCTCACGGCTGAGAACAACAGCTAGCACCAAGAAGGTCACCACTAAGGAGAGACATGCCACAGGGGAAGAGCCACTTACTATTCGGGGCCTAGACTTCAAAGGCAAAATCGAGCAATGCTTACTGGTTTGTTTTTCTTTGTCTCTTTGGCCCCACAAAGCTGCTCTCACTTCCAAGATCTTGGACAAGGATCCCACCAGCCTCTGTGTGCCAGAGTGGAGGAAAACAGCCCATGACACAAGACACTTCAAGAATGGGACAGAGAAGGTTGAGAACAAGTGAAGGATTATCAACCCACCATAAACCAAGGCAGGGCTTCCCAATGTTCCTGTTGCTTTCAGTTAATTACGGGCCCCATCTAGCTGGGGAAGAAGGCAAGCTAGAGTGCTGGGGGTTACTCATCCCAGGAAATACGAGCAAGTTATGTTCCTTCAAAGGAAACCTTCTTTTCCCTGCAATGTAGCTGGGTACCCAAGGGGAGAGAAAACCAAGGACCTGAGCCAATCATTTAGAAGAACCTTATGTAGACACCCTATCTGCAGGAATGGGATTGTTTCTTTGTCCTCCGAGTCCTCTTGTATTTTTTTTGTTTGTTTTAGTTTGGGGGATTTTGTTTATTTTTGGTCTGGGAATCCAAAATAGGCAATCTGATTCTTTAAGGCTCCAAAGGGAAATCAGCTGCCTCACCCAACATCCTAATATGATCCGGCAAGAAGGTCAAGATTCTCCAATGAGTATTCAGCCATGTGCAGCTTCTTTCAAGATTAGCAGTTCTCAGTGAGGCTGATGACTGAATTCCCTACTCTCCAGAACCCAGGGCTACGGCAGGGACTGTGGAAATAGGAGGCCCAGGGTAACACACCAGTCACAGTTTCTATGGGCAAAGACCAATCGTGAGGGAAGGGCTTGGAAGAAACCATTAATGTGCACATGGAAGGTACAAACCTCTCAGGCCTTTGGAAGAACTTGAATAGTTCACAAGAACCCAGTCTGAAGACTCATCACAGGACTATGAGGAGGCTACAGGCACAATGGGGTCGGATTCCTCTGTGTTCCTCCTGCTTCACTGTGGATGGGGGGAGGTGGTGACCTAAGTCTCCCTTCGGGACCTGTCCGAGGGTAGACAAGCACCTCACCGTTACACAGTTGGACTTTTTGCCCATTTTCTTTACTCTTCACTATTAAGGTTGTGTTTACATTGATGAGAACAAGAGTTATTGCCCTGCCTTCTGTTGGGCTGTCTGTATTGAGTTGCCATGTGGCCAGTGAAAGCTGCATTCAATAAACGAAAGTACAGACTGTTTCTTCCCCACATTAAGAGGCTACCAAGACTTACTTCAGTGTAGAGGGCAAAATCACAACCCACGAGCAGCGGCTTCACGCTTTCTGTTCTCAGTTTTATCTTTCTCATCATTTGAACTTTCAACTTTTTTTTTCTCCTTGCCCAAGGTTAGAGCTTGCTTTATCTTCTAACCCTCAGGCCATTTTCAAATTTTCCATTTAGCTTCTGTCTCATGACAGAAGCCAGGTCTTTGACTACAGTGGATGTGTACATTGTGGGAATCATTAGTAAAGCAAACACCCCATTCCTTTCACCCTCTAGTCATGGAGCCCCACGGAATTCTGATTGGTTGGGACCACTACCTGTGACATGCTCAAGTGGGTATTTCCCTGAGATGTATACAAAATTAGGAAAATTGCAATCAGGACTAGTCTTCATAGCTATAGATAAGCTTATGTGTATATGGAAACATACATATTTAAGAGAGAGCATATGCATACATAGCATATATGCAGGACTTATTATAAAACTGTTGTGTGAATACTGTAAAAAGTAAACCATTGCAAAAAAAGAGTTAAAGCAATGTTAAGATCAGTTCTTCAGTGATATGCGAGAGCCAGCTCTGACAGGCTCACAAGAAGTTACTGTGTGCATGTCTTTTCAAATCCCATGTTCAGTTGCCCCCCCACCTTAAGAGCCAGTTGTTAAATATTTACCAGCAGCACACCACTGCCTTTCCCTCTTCCATGCATGCACACACACACACATAACCACACACACACACACACATAACCACACACAACCACACACATAACCACACACACACACACATAACCACACACACACACACAAATTCTCCCTTTCCCAGAGAAGCCAATGCTAGTAAATGGATTTTGAATTAGTCATTACCAGCTACTTCAGCTCAAGTTGGAAATCCGTTGCACTGTCTCCTTGGTGTTAAAAATCAAATTTTAATTCCCTAAAGCTTGCTTTTAAATTTGTCCTGCCACCTAAATCATGCCCAGCCACCTGTTTTTCATTGTGTTTATGGGCACAGCTAGTGACCATATGATTTGTCATCTAAACTGAGTCACTTGAGAAAATGAAAGAAGGAGCTAATTACTATGAGACAATAAGTATGAACTGATATTATGTTGTTTCATGTACATGGAATTTGTTAATGCCAGAAGCTGACACTCCACACCAACAGGAGGAAAATCCTATTTCCCCACAGGTAGGTACCTGACACTCTAAGCTTATCCCACTTAAAGCTAAAGCTCAGATGTTGGCTGATGCCCAAGTTCAACAGAGAGGCTGCCAGCCCAGGGGAGGCTGATGTCTACAGAACAGCACTAATTCCCAGAACTCACCTTGGGAACAACCACTCAGTGTCAGCCCCACCCCATGCGTGCAGAGCGCAGACATTTTGGCAGATGTAATTGCAAAGGATGGCAATATGTTTGTATCAGTTCTCTGGGGTAAAACAAACTTTTGGATGGGTCACACTGATGTTTTCATCCTACCTTGGCTTTCTGTTGAGAGTGAGAACAGAGCCCTCGTGGGGTAACCCCCATGACACCAGTGTCCAGGAGAACTAAAGTCATTTAAAAACCACCTTTTGCATGCATTAGCTCACTGAACCCTTGGAGCAAGACTACAAAGTTGATTTACTATCTATCAGTGAGGAAGCTGAGTGTGTTGTTCAGATTAAGTAACTGCCCCCAAATTCACATAGGCAAGATGTGGCAGAACCAGAATTTAAACCCAACACTTGTTGTTTGCATCCAAAGCTATGTAACCTAGACAATATACATAGACAAGAGGACTTGAATCTACAGAGGAAGATTTTTGGTTTTTAGTTTTCTTCCTTCAACATCCATTCAATAACACATAGGCCAGACAACAAGCTCTCTCCAAATCTTTTTGTGCTCATGTATTTCTTAAAAATCCAGGTGAAATAGAACTAGGCAGTCTCTAATCCCATCTAGACAGCAGGGTTCAATTCCCCAAATGCTTCTCCTAAGTTGTTTCCTAGATTACATGGACCAGGTAGAGTCACAAAGTTTTTAGCTCCCTCCTGGGTCCCAACTCAGCACACTGCTCCAAAGTGATCTCTCTGAACGTGTTGAGCTGATTTACAGAGCACATATTGGCTGAGTTGACTAATAGCTTCTTTGTGCCTGGTCATGAAAGGACAGACCCCACTTTAATTCTGTTCCTTTCAAAGACTCCACTGTCTTTGAGTTAAGGCTTCATTGTGGTCACCAGGCCTTTAGGGAGCTCTGTGTTAGTGGAGACACACAATTAAAATCCCCTCTCAGACACTGCCTGCTCACTCTTGGTAAAGATTCTAAGAGCTTCCATTTATTGACCCAAGACTGCTATGATCGTTGATACTGATGGTACTCTCAGCCGTGTTATAGAAAGGTATTATTATCCCTCTCATAGAACTACCTCTCAGAGAAATAGTGTCACTTGCCCAATCATGTGGATTATAAATGGAGATGGAGGTGTCAGGATTAGAACCAAAATCTGACTGGCTTTAAAAATCTATGACTTAGCCAGTCATGTTGGTACATGCCTGTAATTCCTGCTACATGAGAGGCAGAGATCAGGAGGATTGTGGTTCAAGGCCAGCTCAGGCAAAAAGTAAAGTCCCATCTCAACAAATAAGTTGGATGTGGTGGTGAGCTAGGTGAGAAGTGTAGGTAGGAGGATCATGGCCCTAGGCCAGCCTGGGCAACAACGTGAGACCCTATCTGGAAGATAACCAAAAAAGGGAAAAAAAGCGGGGAGAGAGAGCTGGCAGAGACCCTGAGTTCAAACTCCAGTACTACCAAAAAAAATTTACCTTCCAATAATACATGCTACCACCTTCCCATGTGACACTATAATCAGCTTCGCTACTGAGCTTACACAGTTATACAATTAGTTCAAATGGTGATATATTTTGTTGTCCTCATTTTTTAAAATCCTGTCTATTTTTCATCTTAATGCAATTAAAACTTATAAAATGTCAATTATCTGCCAGTTATCTCCATAGAATCTGATGTCACAGATACCATGGTCTTGTTTATTTAACAAAAATGTTCTTAGTAAGCAACCTTTCATTTCAATGACTGGCAATGTCTGAAAGAGGTATGGGGGACACCTCAAAATGTAGTGTTTCTGATTGGGAGTGATAAATAGATATGGTGATTGGTTTGTTCCAATGCATTCAGATCATCTTGAGAGACATGACTTCTGGAATGAAAGAATGCCAGTAAGTTTGGGAAAGGGTCCGGGTGTGGTACCAAGACCAATCTGATCAATGAGGCTACGATGAGATCTTGAAATGATTGGCAGGGCTCACAGGAGCTGAGCTCTTCACTAGAGTCCTGGTAAGTTATGCTGCCATGGTGCCAAAAGCAGAAATAAGGGCTGTAGAGACATCAGAAATGCCCTTTCTTCCTGACTTGTATGAATAGTTTGTTGAGCATCTACTTGATGAGCACTGTGAATACAAAACTGTATCAGGTGTAGTCTTCTCCATGTGATTGAGGTACAATTGCCTGAACAATAGAAAAATAAACAATGCTAAGGCTGGTTTCACCTCACATCCACATAAACAGCATTAGTTCCATTTTGTTTTCATCTATCTATTCCTGAAACTCTACGTTTTCAAACTTAAACAAGAATCAAGGAGTAATATGAACAACTTTTGTGTAGTTTCCATTTAGACTGGCCAGTTGTTAACATTTTGCCACACATGCTTCTTAGCTCTGTGTTACATTTTTTTTCTTAAGGGTGGAATCCAGTTGTTTTGTTAGTTTAATGTTTTCAATGAAAAATAGGCTTACATATGCAAGGCAATGCATAAGATAGGTATACATACATAATTTCATAACTCTTACACAGTATATTGGGTGACAATTTATGACAGATGGTATTAACCCTCCCCATGGGTGCATGCATTGCTGGGAAGGTCTGGCAAATAGCTAGGACCCTCAGGCAATGTGAATTGCCACAGGAATGTCCCTAACTTAGCTGCCTCATCACCAGACAATGACAGTGGTCATCTTCCACCAGCTTAAAAGTTGTATAGCAACTTCTAGGATATATCCATTGACTGAAGTCCTTTGTGGGTTAGGATGGATGTTTATTATGTGTAGATATAGTGTGAATATAGGTTTTCAGTTTCTCACCTCTACAAGGGAAAAAGATACAGCAATTAAGAATTCTTTTTTTTTTTTTTTTGGTGCTTGAACTCCAATGTAAAATTCTTGACTCCTCCTCCTTTTCTACACGTGGACCCATACTAGCTGGTTTATTAACATTTCAGCTTTGATTCTGCATGCTTCTCAGAGACATTTACTATTCAGACCTTTACAAGGTCAAATATATCATTTACTATGGTGAAAAAAACTACCCCACCCCACTTATACCAACATCCTACAGTGAGAGGGGAGAGGGCTCTTACAGACTGGCAATGTGTCCTCAAAATTGTGCACTATAAGCTTCTCATAAGTGCCTCTGTCTTCTAGTGGCTCATGCTGGCTGTGTCACACCAGGCTAGTCACTCTCAGGTTCCAAGTCTAAGGAACACCTACACAGAGATGTGTTCCACAGTCTAGTATGTCTTGTAAACAAAAGGCAATTCTGAGCCTGGGAACTTCATCAACTGGCATACTTGAGCATAATTCACGTCTAGTCCAGCAGAAAAAAAATGATGGGAGACATCTCCAGAAACCTGTCCTCTGACAGTGGATCTACTGTTAACATTCTAATACTGTTCAGAGCTGCCCATAACCAACCACAGCCACCATTATGGGGCACTTACTGCATGCTCCTGTGCTAAATTTGTTGCTTCTGTGGCTTACAGAAATCTCACTAGGGATTGTTATTTTATTAGACATGGAAATAGGTTTAGTGAGAATAAGTAAATGTATAGCCATAACTCAAACTATTTTTTTCTGACTCCAAGACTGTTCTCTGTAGCTTGGTGGATGGGAGTGATGTAAGTATAGGGCAACTGGACAATGAGCGTGGGACAAATCAGATAGGA